TCAATACCAAACGGCCTACAGTGAAGCCTGCTCGGCCAGCCAAACCTACGGACCCTCCCTTCATAGGAGACTCGTACATGAGCGAAGACGTCCCTCCACAGACGGTGAGTTCTCCTTAACTGTGCTTAGTCTGCTGGCTTTGATTTCATCTGCTGCTGAAAATGAAACCCCCTGAGAGCAAAACGTTTATCTGATTTCAGCAGCTGTCAAAGAAATGTTTGCTGTTTTTAACCCAGGAATCTGAAATCTAATCTGTCTGTATTTTACAGGCTGTTTTCCCTGTGACATGTGACATATATGTCTGTGCAGTTTGTCCTCTGACTGTAATGTGACAAATCGAGACAACTGTGTCGATGTCTCGATTTGTACAACTTCCTCTACATTTGTTTCTTGTTGTGCTTCTTCTCTCCTTACTGTGCTGTTGTGCATATTGTACAGGATGTAATGTTTGCATGTAGCCCTGCAAAAACACTCAAAAGAACTGGACAACATGCAGAACAGCACAATCAAAGACCTCAGAATGACAGGAAGTGAAACCACATGCACTGATACACAAAAATATTTTCTCATGTTCAGTTGACATGGACAGTATGCAGTTTGGCCACAAATAGAAGCGCATACTCTACCAAATGAGTGTCATGTTGTTTTCAGTGAATGGTAAATGTGCCGGTACTTCCTTCCCACCCACTTATCCACAGATAAGAGTGCTGTATGTGCAAGGTGAAGCTCAAGACTCGCGATCTGGCTCAAGGATATTTTGTCACGTAGACAGTACGAGCTGGGGATCGATCCAAAAACCACACAAACCATGATTTTCTTTGGGATTAATAAAGTATTCTGATACTGTGGCTCATTCATGTTTTAGATAAACAACAATTAAGCTCCTTGGCAACAGACAATATATCAGACTTTCATATTCACAAATCCACACAAATAATAAAGGTAAACATCGTCGTTACGGTGACTGACTGATGCGGGTAATAAAAGTTGTAATTTGAACCCTGTAAAGCAGCGGTGCCCATCACATGACTTGGTTTATCGTCCCTGCAGCAAAGTCACACATCTGCTTTTATTCAGGGCTGAGATGTCATAGGGCGGCTGCCATGGTTACTGGGTGGATCTGTTTTTTCCAGTAAATGTTTA